TCCATTGGCTTATTGGCTTGAAAAATGTTTGATGATTGCAATGCAGAGTTAGTTAATGATTCATTGGAAACCAATAAGAAAAGGTTGGTTGTTGATCTTCAAATTGGTGTTTTCTCCTTCTCTGTGGCATTGTTGTGTATTTGTTTTGTGCATGTTTGGAGCAAATGCACTTTTAGATTTCATCACATGAAACCATCAGAAAAGCTTACCTAGATAAGATGAACACTACTTTGCTAAGGGATCTTGATGTGATAAATAATAGCACTCAAATTAAACCCTCTTTTTGACAATTGTAGTATAGATATAAGTAGGGATCGTTCTAGGCCGAGGATTAGGAGGGATTGCTAATCTAATGAAAATTGACTCAAAGATGTAAAAATATGCTTCAAAACACTTAAACAAACTCCAAAGACTCTTAACTAAACTTGTATGACTCAAAACAAACTTAAAAGACTCAAAACAACTCAAAACAATAAAAAAGACTCAATTTAGACTCTAGGACTTAACTTGGACGAAAATACAATTGTTTTTGACTCAAAAGACTCAAAAACACATTTTTGGACAGATTTGAAACAAGTAAATAAAGGGGATTTGGTTTTGGATGAATTTAAGAGAAAAACAAGTAATTAAAAGACTTAAAACAGATTTTGATGAATTTGGGAAAAACTATGGATGATTAGATAGCTAAGGGATACTTCTCCACACATGATACATTCAAACATAAATTGATTTCCAGTTGCTTTTCCGATAAACCATGAACCTCAACACCTCAGATTAACCGTGACATCACTAATTAACCCTCAGATTTTCCTTAAGTTATTGGATTGGATGACATCATACGACAACCCAAAGTATTCTTCAAAAGTTCCCTACATGACATCATAATAGAGATACAATCAAAGATCATTACGTTCAATGAAAATCATAAGTATTGACAAAGCACTTGTAACTATGACATCATGATACTCATGCTAGGAATTTACTTAACATGATTGTGAAAACAACCTTAACTACTTGTGAATATAAGTTTGTAATGATTATGTGAAACTCTCTTATATTCTAGCACCAAATTCAAGCATGCAAATTAAGTAGGCCTCCCTAATCAACATACAAGAATAAGTTATCCATCAAACGGTTAAGTAAATTGCATTCACAATTTATGAAATCATAACTGGACTTAATCAATTAATATCATAAACATAATCATGGTTTCAAAGCATCCCCTAGCTAAAACGAGTTTAGTCTCTCATGTTCACAACAAAACAATGGAAAATTGAATTAAACATTGAAAACAAAAGATAGATTACACCTAAAAACGCTTCAACATCCAACTTGAATGCATAAACATCAAAGGCTTCTTCTTCTTCTCTTCTTCCTTGCAAAGTTCCGGCACAAGAGTCTAAGGTGATTTGTGGATGATTTTCTGGGTTGTGAATGGATTTAGGATGGTAGGGTGGTGCGGAAAAGGTTGGGGATGGTGTGTGGATGGTTGAGTGAAGGTATGGAATTGGATGAAGGGTGGAAGGATTGTTGGAAGGCTGCGACAAAGAAGGTTTGTTTCTGTGAATGAAGGTAGATTATGTGTGAGAGTGATTAGGGTTGAATGAAAGGTGCGGCCTTGGTATTTATTTGGGAGCAAGAATCCCTAGAGTTTATTACATAGTTTAGGAAAGGATTTAGACCCCAAATCCATCAGGAAAAGGAGTCATAAAGTCAGAAATTAAAAGGGAAAGGGATGGAACTTGCGGCCAAGGATAGGAAAAAGGGAATGTGATTTTAATTCTGAATTTAGGCAAGGATTTTTGGAATAGAAAAGGTATGTGAGGTGTGGCTGAGACTGAGGTGAAAAGGGAATGTGTTTTAATGACTTAGAGTAGGAAACAAGGACCTCCCTTGCACAGCAAGGAAGGGAAAGTCAATGGGGTGCACGGCAAGGCTTGTTATGTTGCAAGGAGAGTTTGGTTTATGTCCTAGAATGAATAGAAGTCTTTAATGTTGCTGAAACAGGGGGTCTTTAAGGATTAGGAAAGGTTAAACCAAAATAGGAAACCTTGGCTTAACTTTCCTACTTCAAGTAGGAAACCTTCTTTGACTAGGATTCCTCTTTTGATTAGGAGTCCTCTTGTGATTAGGAGTCCTAACACCTTTAGGTCTTCAATTTCGTCCATTCCTTTTGCTCCAAGCATATGCTATCCATTCCAAGTCCAATTTTGCTCCAAAATGCACCTTTTTGCTTCCTTAGCCATGTGAACCTAAAAACACACGAAAATAGCTTAAACTACTAAAATAACTATGAACTAACAACATAAATGCACGAAAACAAGCTAACTAAGTCGCCTAAATATGCTCCTATCAAATCTTTTGATATAGGTGCCTCAGTTTTGAATTTACTGTTACATATTGCCCTGATGCTTGAGTTCAACTTTTTAAACTCAAAAACACTTTTTGAGTTTTAGGCTTTGAATTTTTATTTGGTAAGACTCTTTTTAAAAACTAGATTCAAAACTAACTTAAAAACATAGACTATTTCTTAAAAACACCAAAAATGAGTTTTTAGAGTTTTTGGTCCTTTTAGTGCTCTCTTTCTTACACATCTTTTCCTGCTCTCTCTCTCTCTCTCTCTCTCTCTCTCTTTATCTCTCTCTCTCTCTCTCTCTCTCTCTCCTAACCTCTTCTTCTTCTCTCCTAACCCTCTCTTGCTTCTCTCCCCACGTCCTCACCCTATCGCATCTCTCTCACCTCACCTTTTGTCTTATCTCTCTCATCACCTCATTCTTCCCTCGGTCCTCACCTTCTCAATGTATTTTTTTGCTCTCTCCCTTGTCACCATCTCTTTCTTCTCTCTCCTCACCTCCTCACCCTCGCCCTCTCCCTATCTTTTTCTCTCCTCGCCATTTAATTCCTCTATTATGTCTTTTCCAATCATCTCTTCTTCAATTTATGCTTAAGGTAGTTTGAACTCAAACTAAGAAAACTTATTTTAAAAAATTTAACCAAATAGATTTTTGAATTTTTAGACTTAAAAAAATATTGTTTTTAAGTGCTGTTCTTTGGAAATTATTTTAGGAATAATTAAAGTTTTTTAGTAGAATACCAAACATGCCCTTAAGATAACGAACCCTAAAAGATTACTCATAGCCATAAAAGTTCGGTTCTTTCTCGCCACTTGTCATACTAGGGTAAGAACATTTCCCATGATTACTTAAGTAAATTAGCATGCAACAAGTGCCTATGGTATTTGAGACATTCTTGTTTTTGAAGGGTGGGCCTTAATCGATTCCACTGTCAAGAGTTATCCCGAAGATTGCTTGTCGGTTTCATAACGTGGAGTTTAAACATATTTTTCGTGAAGCGAATTTCGTTGGTGATGTTCTTGCTAAGATTGGTCAGAGATCCTTAAATTCTCAAGTTTGGATGTTTTCTCTTCTTTTTTATAATACTCGATCAACTTGGTTTGGGATAGTGGCGGTGGTAATTGTGTTTGTAATTTATCTTTCTTATTAAAAAAAAAAAAGCATGCTTCAAATTATGTATAGGATAATTAAAAATGAACTGCTAAAAAACTTCCTAGTATAAGAATGTCCCATGATATGACATCCTATTTGCCAAGGAATGAAATTATATATGCCGCCAATGAAACACGCGCATAAAAAGTGAACACTCTTTCTCTCCCTGTGAGAGACCTTCCCTCGGCTTGAGAGCACTGTTTTAAAAGTTCTCATCTCGACAATAGGAGGTTGGACATCGCCCCAATTAGTCTATAGGTATTTGGAAATAAAGAAAGTGCGCCTAGACCCACTTAGGTGTCCGCTTATACCTGCTTAGGTTGCAACTCTCACTTAGACAAAAATTGATAATATTCATTTTGCACTTTATTTTGTCAATAAAATGTAAGAGACTTGTTGAATACTTGAATGAACACTTATTATATGCTTGTTTTCCATATTTTTAATATGGTTTAATACTGTATAATCTATATGTCATTTTATTTAACAATTTATGTATTCCAATAAAACTATGTACATGTTTTTTAAGTATAACTTTATTTATAAAATATATCATAAATTTACTTATACCCACCTAGTCTGCCTAGGCACCAGCCTGTCGCCCAACTAAATTTTAGCGTCTTTTAGAATCTTGATTGAGGGTATTTCCCTCATTGTGTGAGGGTTTTCTATCCTGATCAAATTCTGTGACATTGACTCTAGCTTTGGCTGGAGTTAGTGGCCGATCCCCCCTTTCTTTCTTTATCTCATCCTTTCTCGTTTTCTGCTGCTTTTTCTCCTGCTCACCATTTTGATTTGTCCTTCTCTTCTTACCTCATTGGAGTCCGTCCTCCTCGTTCATCTAAGTTGCAATCCTCAATCATACTTTCCATGGAGATGGTGCGTAGAGTTTCGATGCTTCAACCAGCTCGGGTGTTCCCAACACCACCACCTTCTCTCTATTGTTTGTTGTTTCTGGTAATGTTGCTCATGGTTTTCCATGGGCTTCTTTTTCTTGATAGCCAACTGATTTCATTCATTTGCTAGTTATCTTTACTTTGTGGCTATGCTCGCAAAGTTGTTTGGGTTGGATGATGACTTTGGAGAGGCGATGTTCGGTTGTGGGTGTGGGTTTGTGTATGTTAAGATGCACTGTTTCGACAGAGGTGGTAGCAGCAAATTTTTCGATTTTTCTCTTTTTTTCTCTTCTGTTTTTGGGCCTCAATTGTTTGGTTGGGCTCTTATTGGTTTGTTTGGTTGACCTGTTTTTTGCTCGTTTATGTTTTTCTATTTTTGGGCTTTTAATTTGTAAACCGTATCTTTGTAGCTAGTAATAAATTTTCATTGAATTTGAAAAATTAAATAAAAATTCATTGAAAAAAAAAGCGCACGCATTTTTCAGATGTTAAAAAGAATCTTGCAAGTGCTGGATGTCGGTTTCAAAATACGCGTGAAGTTTTATCAGAAAATGAAAAAGCTCTGACCCTCCTCAACACTCTTTCCCTCTCTCTCTCTCTCTCTCTCTGTATAATCTTGTATTCTCTCTCTAGACTTTCAGCAGTAAACCCCGCAAAAAATCACAATTCTCTCCCTCTCTCTCTCTCTGTGGGCATCGACTTCAAAGCCCAAATCTACAGTTTTTATTTGCTCGAAATTCAGAGAGTAGGTACGATTTTTCAGTCCTCCTAATCGAATTCATATAAATTCTCATCGGTTTCCTTATAAATTCTCAGTTTCTCACATAAATCCCCAATTCCCCATTAACCAGCATCCTTCCTTCTTCCCACTTTTGCTCTCTATCTATCCAATTTTCTGCTTTTTCGGCTCCAATTTGCGTGGGTTCTGATTCAATTTCAGATTTCTTTTTGGTATTTAGGATCTAAGTTTATTGGGCCTTGACGAGCAGCGGCGGGCAAAGTATGAGGTACCCTTTTCTTCCTTCTGTATTTCTTATGTTTAATTTCTAATTTTTATTCCATGCATGGTGTTAAATTTCTGTGATGATTTGATCGGATTGGGAGATTTTACGTTGATTTCTGGCACTAAAAGTTTACGAATCTCAACTGTTACAATCGCACTTGGCTGAAAATGAGATTTTAGACGTCAATCGAGTACCATGATTACTTTTGGTCTTTGTTAAAAGAAGCGCAAACGAAAGTTTAGAGAGTTAGAGATAGAAAATAAGGAAGGGTAACCAAAGCCGAGCGATTCAAAGTGTTATTACCCGTTGAGCTTGGAGGTCGACAAGATTTAGTGAGGGGTGGGGGTGCGGGGTGAGGAGGCTTCCTCCACCCTCTTTGTTCGTTTTCATAAGAAGATCGACAGACATGGCTCACTTGTACTTGATGCCTAGGTTTCATTTAACCATCTTCTATTAATATTTATTTCTTATCCACTTAAACGAAGATTTTAGTTTTAAGTCCAGTATTACCTAACTGTTAATTATTATATTTGACTAACAAGGAAGATTCGTTAAACAAGAAACAACAGCAATATAAGAATAATGAGAAATGAACAATTTGATGTACATTTAGTCAAATTCTATTAAGTATGTCAGTGGGGATAATGTACCCTTCATTCGCTTTAATTGGTACGCTTTTGGTTTAATTTGCATTTTTACAAGAGAAAGACTAATGCTGCTTGTTTTGGGTTCCACTTCGGTACACCAGTGTGGTTTATTTTGGAAGAGGCCTTCACCCTGTGATTATTCGCCTTTGAAATTATGCTTATTAAGACACTGGAGGCCGTAGTTGTCTGTATCTAATTCTGTATAACTCCACTCGCAACTTTTCAGTAACTAGTAGAAAAATTATGCTCAAGTATTAAAATTCTACATACTTTGGGATGCAGGTTTTGCTTTTGTTTAATCTTGCTGTTAATAATTCTTTTGAGGACCATTCTTATTCTGTTTTCTTCTCTTTGCGTAAGCAGGATTCTATGAGTTTTGAACTGTGATGGCTTTCCCATATACATCAACATCAATAGTGCCTTCAGAACTGTCAGAGCAAAGAGGAGCAAATATATCAGATTCAAACACAAACATGTTTCAAGCTCCAACAAACCAGCCCAGCCGAGGCTCCTTTGATGGTCCTGTGGCTATCTTTTGGGATATTGAGAACTGCCCTGTCCCTAGTGATGTCCGTCCAGAAGATGTAGCTGGTAATATCAGAATGGCTTTACAGGTGCATCCCATAATTAAAGGAGCAGTTATGACGTTTTCTGCTTATGGGGACTTTAATGGCTTCCCTAGACGACTCCGTGAGGGATGCCAGAGAACTGGTGTTAGACTAATTGATGTTCCAAATGGAAGAAAGGATGCTGCTGACAAAGCTATCCTGGTTGATATGTTCCTGTTTGCCCTTGACAATCCTCCACCTTCTTCCATCATGCTCATCTCCGGGGATGTTGATTTTGCTCCAGCACTTCATATACTTGGGCAACGTGGATATATTGTTATCCTGGTAATTCCATCTGGAGTTGGTGTTTCATCTGCTCTCAGCAATGCTGGTAAGTTCGTGTGGGACTGGCCTAGTGTGGCTCGTGGAGATGGCTTTGTACCTGCTACTAAAGTTTTAATGCATCCTCGTGGGGGTCACACTGATATTTCTGGGTATCTTATGGGTTGCCATATCAATGATAATGTGGATATCCAAAATGAAGAAGAAGCTATCTTGTATCAGGGAATATCACAAAGCTATTACAACTCGAGAGATTTTTCAATAGTCTCACAATCACTGTCTGAATTCAACAGTAGTTCCATAATGGTGCCTTGCTGTCCTACTGCTTCAAGGTCACACAGTCTCCCATCTGGTCTCAATGAAGTTTCTGCTGGGCCTACAACATCTGGTGATCAAAATGAATCTACTTGGTGGGTCCAGCCAGGGGACCTAAATGGTCTGAAGGGACAGCTTGTAAGACTGCTTGAGCTATCGGGAGGTTGCATGCCTCTAATGAAAGTTCCAACCGAGTATCAGAAAGTTTTTGGAAGGCCTCTTTATGTATCAGAGTATGGTGCATTCAAGCTCGTAAATCTGTTCAAGAAGCTGGGTGACACAATGGCTGTAGAGGGAAAAGGGAACAAGAGATTTGTCTACCTCCGGAACTGTAAAACGGGCACGAGTGCACCACCTTTGGTTTTGTTAAAGAGGGATAACAAGAAAGGGAAGGGGACTCAAGAAGAGTGCATGGATATTACTACAGGCAATGGCTCATCAGATGAGTTCTCAGAGGAGGAAAGAGTTGTTGTAGAAGAATACGATGAGACGAGCCAAGGAAAGACCAATGTGAGAACAGTAGGTGAATGTGGAATTGATGATCCTAGTCTGGAGAATTTCAAATATGAGCTGCAAGAGATTCTTGTCAGCTACTCTTGTCGGATTTTCTTGGGTTGTTTTGAGGAGGTCTACCAGCAGAGGTATAAAAAGACGCTGGACTATCAGAAGTTTGGAGTTAATCAGCTAGAGCAACTGTTCGAGAAGGTGACAGATGTGGTGGTGTTGCTTGAAGAGCCAGTTGGCAAGAGGAAGTTCCTGGCTGCAAGTGGTGGCTATAAAAATTAAGGTGGTTCGGTTGATGTTTCTAGTAATTTTCTGATGCTTTTTAGGTACGCACACTGCAGCCCAGCGTCTCTCCCTCTCCTTTTTGAATATTTACGTTTTTTTAGTTACAAATTTCATAAAGGGGAAAAACAAAATCACCGATGAGGCTGGGAAGCACCTTTTATTTTTTGTTGTGTTAAACGTGTCCTGTATGGATGGGAAGCTAATATCGAAATTTCCATGCACAATTCACGCCCGGTCATTTGCAACTGACGATAAACTGCTAATGGGAGATGGTAATGTAAATTTACTTGTATTTTGCTTTTGTGCTTGATTATACTGAAACTGAAATTACCTTGACCTACATAATGTGGAAGTATTCTCAACTCATCAATAAATGTTTTATGTTAAAGAATGCTGCTTATTTTTTTCGTTCCTTGGTTGATAAGTAATCATATTATGAGAATGGTACTGATTCCTTGTAAGTTAACATGTTGTTTCGAACTACTTATGGGTCCAACTCGGTTTAGTCTTGTTTCTCAGTTCACCAGCTTTGATGCACACCCCTAGTTTCGTCGTCTACTAAACCCTTGCACACCTCTTTCCATATGGCATGGCCAAGACTATAATTAAGGTTGGTTTACTTGACTAAAGATAGTTGGCTTATTAGAAGAACGGGTGAACTTAGTGATTTCCACCGTAGAGATATTCCAGTACCTTCAATCGTTGTCGCTGGGAGAATCATTTCCAGCAAACATGGGACTTTCAAAACTTGTGCATCTTCTCAAGCTTAGTTTTGCCGGGAAGTCAAGTTAGAGAATCTACCTGATCCACTGCACTTCCGGCCAAACCTCGTCAAGCTAAGTGTCCATTATTTCAATCTCAATTGACAAACTCAGTATGTTGCCAAACTTGAAGCTTTTGTTGGGATCCGAATTGTACGCAGACAAGAAACCTGTTTGCCTCTCCTCATTAGGGTTTCCTGAACTGGAAGTCCTATAATTCAAATGGATAAAGTTGGAGGAATTGATTGTTGTATGGACTATGGAGGGGAATCTCAGAGAACGACTTTCCTGGGTTGCTTGTGTTGCCGGAGTTATCAATTTTGCGGAGGATATTTCCGTGTTGTTTCTGGTTTGCTATTCTTCTAATTTTGGGCTACATTTTTTATTTGCTTGGATTGAAGATTTGAAATGTGATTGTGCTTTGTTGCTTGTATTGTTGTTGTTTAAACTTGGCCCTCTTTTTCCTGATAAAAAGTTGTTCTAGCGCTTTTTCCCTAATGGTAATGAGACTCCTCTTTATACTAGATTGATGAAGTTTTATTGTTCACACATGAAAGTTTAAAATTAATATTCAACTTGTCATTCTAGAGATTCGAGTTTAAAACTTCTCATTTACAAGTAAAAATTGACGGAGTTGAGCTACTGCGACACGATGTGCTGCGTAATCGTTCAATCTTCGCATCGTGGGAAAGTTTGAACGCGAATGAACATACTATATCTGATTACTCTATCCGCTTTGTCATCACCAATTAACTTGAATCAATGTGGAACCATATATACACACACGCGCCCTTTAAGGGAAGAGATTCTTATTTTTGAAAAAAAAATGGAGATTAGTTGCGAAACTTACTCCACATCGAACTTCAACGATCCAAACCGTTTATTTTGTATGTCTCGTATCATAAATCATCTTTACAAAAATTTAATTCAATCCAAAACCGTTTGCATATTTAATTATCACAATGAAATGTCAATGTTTCTTAGAGAACAAAATGTTAGTCAATTTCTTTGCACTTAATTAGATGCCTCAAATATTATCGATTTGTCTAATATTTTGCAAGGATGATCTATGAGATGCAACTTAAAAAATAAACTGTTCAGATTGTTAAAGTTCGATGTGGTGTGAGCCTAACAACTAATCCCCATTTTTATAAATTAAAAATGGGATCCCTTCCGTTAAACGTTTCTATATACACAAGAAAACAAAAAACGTTTCTTGTACGTAGGAAAATGGTCCATACCAAATTAATGTTGTTCCAAAATTGTCCAAGTCTTTAACAACAGTACAGGCAAAAGGATATATATTCATATGCTTCCCCAAAACTTCTAACTAGCAAAAGACATAAGCTTGCAACAATACTGCCCTCACAATTTGCTTTGGCCTTTTGGTCCATACTGGTAAACACCTTGAAGCTGTTTGATGAGTTTTTCAAAACGATGAGCTGAAGAAATACTGAACGTACCTCAATCCGTGGAACAGTCTCGAATCAATGAAGTCTTCAAACGGAGAGAATATTCGGAGGGGATTGTGGCGAGCCATTTTCAAGCAAGAAGCTTCTACTACAATAAGACCTGGATGTACTCGAAGAAGAAGCGAGATACCTCCCATCCCCGCTATGAAAAATCATGTCAGTCCTATGCATCTTCCCTTTACTAGTCCTTCCTCTTCCTTCCGTCTCTTCGTACTCTTCATCTTCCACGGCTGCTAGGAACCCACTATGCATTGGGTCCGAACTCTCGTACAAAAGCCTAAGCACCTGTTTGATTGAAGGCCTATCGCGGCCTTCTTTCTGGGTGCACCATCTCACGATAGACACAATCGTTTGGAGCTGATCCAAATCAAATGAATCTTGTATACTGGGATCCACCAGATCAGGTAAGCTTAATTCAGATTCCATGTACTTTTGTGACCATTCTACCAAATTCCTGTTGTCTTGTATTGCTCGCCTTGCGGTTACTAGCTCCAACAGTAACACACCGTAGCTGTATACATCACTTTTCTCCGTCAGCTCTTGGGTAACCACATACTCCGGATCCATATAACCTGAAGCCATCCATTCAACATAGGTGTTTAGCCAAAAGAAACTATACCTTCATATGTCAGTCTATCAATATGATTCTCTAACCTGGAGTTCCCCGAATATCCGTATTTACTGGTTCAAAGCAAATAGAACCATCTTTTGAAGCCTGTGCAAGGCCAAAATCTGCAACCTGGAAAGAAAAGTAGAGGGATTTCTTTCAAGAGTTTAAAAGAGTTCTTGGCATGCATTCCCTACCACGGAAGGAATATCATAAAACTTATAAAAGCAATCTTCCTCCTTGAATGCATTCGATTTAAAGAGGAATAAAAAGTTTAGTCACATATGAGAGGCGTTAACGTCTTTCTTCGTTAAGTTGTTTTGAGAACGAAGAGATTCCGATCGAGTATTAAAAGCTACATCTGCATCCAGCCATATATTCTACCTTGGCAACAAAATTATCATCCAGTAAGATATTGCTGGACTTAATATCTCTATGGCAAAGAGGAGGATCACAATAGAAATGGAGATACTCCTGCATGGAAGAACAAATTAGAAGCAAATCAATTTCATGAACAACACAAGCCAGTAAAAAGATGACTATAAGCCTGCTGTTTACCAGAGCGTTAGCCACATCAATGGCAATTTGGATTCTAGTCCGCCAACTTAGAGGAGTCCAATTCGGAGCTGCATAAAGATTAGAATTAACATAATCAGAATACGTGGCCTTAAAAGAATATGGCTTTTGAAACAAAATAAGAGAATGACTTTATGCTGTCCTCCACAGCTTTTGAAATCCTGAATATACCAAAGGTAAAAATCACCATAGTAAAGTGGGATTCCACCAAAATTCAGAAACTTGTGTTGTTAGATAAAGTCATAACTCTGCATGAGCGCAAGTGTGTGTGACAGTGCAACAGAGAGGGAGAGAGACAACAGGATGAAAGAATTGATTTCAAACGTGATGAAAAACACCATAAAGTCATCCCCTTCCATAATCCAGTTTTAGAACACTACTCTCAGCAGACGGGAATTCAAGAGATGGGAGTAACATACAGTGAAGATGGTCCTTCAAGCTACCATTTTCCATGTATTCATACATGAGAAACCTGCCATGGAACATGTAAAGCATTTGGGCAGGTATATAAGGGCCACAAACTTACAGAAACATACATAAATTAACTACCTGTCACGCTTCTCGCTGCAAAAGCCCCTCAGAGCAACAAGATGACGATGATGCAATCTGGCTAGAAGCACTATCTCCCTGCAGAACTCATGTTCTCCCTGCTCTGACACTTTGTTCATTCGCTTAACTGCTATCACTAAACCATCACTAAAGTGAGCTTTGTACACAGTTCCAAATCCCCCTTGTCCAATAATTGTGTTGAAGTTTTCAGTCGCCTTCTTTATCTCCTTGTAGCTGAATTTCCGAAACATAGATGGAGGACCTGCACTTAAATACCATCTCAGATGGGACCCGCAACAAAATGTTTTATTCATGAATACAAGTCATCAAGAAAACAAATTACGAGAAAAATAAGAGAGATAATTATACCTTCCTGAAATTTCCTCATAGGACGAGGCGAGTGAAAGGATTTTGACGATTTTTTATCTATACTCTCAGAATCCAGTAACTCTCTGTTTTTCTTACGAATGAGAACTATCAAGACTAAAAGCATCATTACAGCGACAGCTGTTACTGCAATGCCAATACCTGGAACCAATGTAAGGTGGTAGGAATGATGTGTTTCATTTTGGGGTGGACCCAACAAGTGTTGGCTTGGGCTAGCAGCCACAAAAGGACTTGGAGAAGCCTTCGGGGTGGAGGATGGCGATGGCTCTGAAACTAGAAACACAATTTCAACATAGAGAAAAAAAATTTACCTCTTTGGATCAAGAAAATATATGGACCACAAACCCCATTTATAAAGATTACACAAACATGAATAGTTGAACCCAGATCTTCTGCTTTTAAAATTACTTATTCGTAGGAAAAATAGTATATTGTACATTATACAGGTCTATGTGATTGATAAAAACAAATAATGATCACTACTCACAATATGTTTCAGGAAAAATGACATAATGTTAACTATCCTCATACCAAGCTTGCCCTCAAGGCATTTCAAAATACATTAAAGCTGTTCCCAACAACCAACCTTTCCACCGAAAAAAAGGTAAATAAAACATCAATGACAGTGGCAATAGTTGAAGTACTCATATGATTTGATGAGGCCTTCTATTACCTCACCAAACCTGGATCCAAAAACTAGTTCACTATTCTAGTTTACCAAATATACAATATACCCTTGTTTGTTCGTACTAATAGCATAAAATTATTTAGTTAACACATGAAGCATGACATTGATTGCAAGAAAAATAAAAAATAAAAAATTAGAACATGGTATTTGAAAAAATAGAATTGTTTTTAAGAAAATACTAAAGACTAAACAAAACGGTATCACAGAGTTTTATAATACAGTTGAAATCTAGCACATGGTATTTGTCACATTCTGTTTCAGTATAAATCAAAATATCCTCCACAGCCAGAACTGTCCGTACCTGGTAGGATGTTGTTGAGCCCCTTAATTTGAAAGAAACAGCTTGCCATGTCAATAGCTGAAGGATCATCAACTTGGCTTGCCAATGCAGCAAAAGTTGCATCACGGCAGGTACTCAAAGTTATATTATCTTCTGTTCCTAATAGACGATGAAGAAATACGATGCCAGAATTTAAACACTTCTTGCATTTAGTTTCCTCTGAAAGTGGTACTTTGCAATTTGCCATGACATCAATGAACTTTGGAGACTGCAGCATTTGTGTGACAGTTGTTCGACCCTTACACTCATAATTTACTGGAATTTTTGTCCCAAACCCACAGAAAGCTGTTGCATTTCTGGGAACTCCATACAGTACTAAGGTTTGTGATATGGAATGGAGGCATATGTCAGATAAATTTGAAGGAACGCCCAAGTTGCTTGTCACATTTGCATAGTGAGCAATAGAAACTGCAATGAAAGCATTTATATAGCGGCAACACTTTCCTCTGTCTTCTTTATTAGAGCACAAAGAGGCTGCCTGAGTAACGTTTGATCCACTCAAATTTAAGGGGCATTCTGCAAAAGTATATACTATGGTCTTATTTCATTTAAAATTCATCACAACAAGGGACATCAGACTGTTTGACCAGAACTGATACGTACTGATAATCTCTACACTGGATTGAAACTGTCTGTAATGGGCAAACATATAATAGCCTTGGAAAGGATATGCACAATTATAACAGAAACTCCAAGAATTAACAAACAATGCATCTGTTGGTGATGTCCAATGTATTAACAGAGTATTTTAGACCCTCCGTGCAGGGTCCGGGACTTCTCAGTGTTGGATCTCAAAACGTATGTTGTTTTATGTATCTTAACCCCGTTATTATTCTTAAGACAACAAGTAGCTCCCAATTAAGATAAGAACTAAGCACATTAGTCACTGTCCGAAATGATTATCACTCAGCAGTACTCTGTCCCTGAATGAAGATGCATTTTCTTGGAGTAACCTAAAAAGTTCATTGAACTGCTAGTGTGATAAAGAACATAGACCAAGACAGATTTCAAATCTATTATAGTTGACTTGTACAAGTATCGCATTTACCCGATGCTCTATTGTGCACACCATATTGGCAAAGGATGCAGCACCAATGCAAGCACATGTGACTCTTCACAACGTCAACAATTGTTTTCTATATAGCTTTTATGAAGGACAAGAGTATAAGATAAATGCAAGGCCTGCTCCAATCTATTCAAATTATACCATTATACCAACAAATTTATTACATTACACCCAAAAAAGGCTATAATTTGCAACGAGAAGATAAAAAATTTACACTGAAAATGTTGGATTTCACCTGAACACACAGATTGTTAAAACTACAAAAACCCAGTAGCCAAATTGAGCTCAAAATTGTAAAACACATGCCAATAACATGTATTGATAACATATAGTAACCCCATTAAAAATCACAGCAAACAATTTGTTTTCCTTCTTTAAGAAGGGAAATAAAAGGTAAACACTGAAGTCGCGGGCGTCTTAAAATTAAAAATTCAACAAAAAGAAGTTAAAAACTTGAATTTTCAAAAGGACCCATCTCCAGAATTAATACATAATAACCTACAATAGGGTCGCTGAAAGTGAAAGTGCCCAAAACATGAATTACAATTAGAACAAAAAAAATGAAGAAAATAATATTTAAATAAACAAACATAAATGCAAGCGCTTCAGTCACACAGTACAGAACAAAACTAAGCAAAACCAGAGGTTCATAAAAAAAAAAAAAATTAAAAAAAAAAACCCAGAAATTGTACTGACCTGCCATTATTTGAGGGAGGAGCTGCATTCCCAGAAATGCAAGAAAACCCAGAAGAAATCCAGGTCCGTACGCAGCCATGGTCGAAGCCAAGAGGGAAACTTCCTCTCACTCACCCACCTCACTCACCCACCAGAGAGAGAGGGAACTCCAAAGTGGGGTAGAAGAAGAAATAAGTGGGGTTTGTGTAGAGAACCAGCGCCTATGTGCGCTGCTAAGTTCTTAACACATTTGTCCGTGAGAATGTGTGTTCGACATGTGAGAGAGAGGGTTTTGACTGTGCAGTTGACTAGAGCGGACCCACCACTCTCCCAAGAGATCAAGATTACTTACTTCAGGTGAATTTTTAGAGATTTCAGTGTGAATTAGGATTCTCTCTACTCTTTTTCACATCCTCTTTCATCATTTCCTTTTATATTCTCTATTTTATTTTTCTTTTTCTATAAAAATTAATATAAGATGTTGACGTGACTTAATTGTGACCGTTCTAATAGGAGGAGAATGAAGATAAGAAAAAAAAAGAAGGAAGAGAATCCTACTCCTTTCAGTGTGGCTTCAGTGATACATTAATACTTATGTTTTAGCCGTTAAATTTGAGTTCACAGCTGTTTAATCTTGTATTTACAATCTCAATTGTTCTCGTTTCACAAGTACTATTCAATAAAATTGAAAGGTTTCATTTATATTTTAATTTGGAAAGGGATCCCCTCCGAATCCATTCCTCCTAATCCACCAAGTTCAGGGATATGGGCTGTTAAAATTTGATCAAATGGTGAAAGTTATTATAACTTTTAAAGTGGGCTCCAGTTTGTAACTGTTGGATCAAATTTTAACGGTTCAGATCCCTGGACTTGATGAATTAGAAGGAAAGGATCCGAAGATGATCCCTTTCCTTTTTATGTATTGCGCATTATTAAAATGGAGTTGTGGGTGGGGCCCAAATTTTTCCACTGTAATATGAGGGGTCGAAATTTTTTATAATGTGATAACAACACAGCTTAATACACCAATTGCATAATATAATTGGTTGAAATTTTGTTTTAAAATTTTCAATCAATTATATTATTATACTTGATGTACTGGATTGTGTTTCCGGTACAATGAAAAATCTCTCGTGGAGTCTTTGAGTTCATTGTCTTCTAGGAACTCCAGAATCCCAGTTGCGTTTTTATTTTTGTATTTCTTAATTGTTAATGCGTGTCCCAAATTTTTGACGTAAATTTTTTTTGAGTTTGCAAAATAAAGAAAATGCACATTGCTCTTAAAATAAGTTGGACAAATTTATCATATACTTTTTATTTCTCAACTTTAAATGGAAGTAGTTGTTTATGAAGAAAAAAGCAAACTCAAAGGGGTAAATATCTTCTTTCTTCTAATCTTTTTCATTACTCGCACAGAAATGAAAAAAATTATAAAATAAAACTGATGGAAAGTGGTTCATATTGCTGCTTTTTCTTTTTCTTTTCTTTTTCTTTTGGTGCAAATTCAAGCACGTATGCAATGCTACATTATAAAAAATAAAAACAAAACAAAACATTGTGGCTGGTAGAATTAAATAATTCGAGCTCGCAAAAGATTCAAACATGCGAGATTTTTTTAAGAAAGGAAATGATTGGTACATTAAATTAAGTGAGAGATTTAGATTGAGATGCAGAATATCAAACACATTGTTTTAGCTAACTTGACTAAACACATGTTTGCCTAATATATAAAAAGTGGTATAAAAGATATTGTATCACAAATCAAAATTCTCGGTTGTGCATATTGTATCGCAAAACTATTTGGGGATACTAAACCTCGAATTAGTTTCAATCTATGGTAATTTCTTTGTAGTGGCCAGTTAAAGTTATCAGATATAGGAGAGACTACCTACTTCAAGTTCAAGGTAAGCTTACACATTCCCTTCCTTTAATGTGCAATTCTCGTCCTTTAAATAGAGCGACTTCTCGTTATTCTGCACGTCATCTGTCAATTGGCAACGGTTGCATCTGTCCAGTAACTGTCCCATAGGCGGCCCAATCGCTCATCCATCCACGAATACCGCCCTACGAATACTATCCTCTAGCTTCTGTTATGAGTGAATTTCTATGGCCTATTTTATCTAAAAAGAAGCCTTGTGGAAACGTCTGTAATGGGGAGCGGTCCATTAACATTGCTTAATTGGCCTTAGCGTTTCGCACTAAGTAAGCAAGCTACCTTATTTATGTGCTCTAGTCGAACAAGCTAGCACAAAGTTAGTTGATGTTTATATCTCAACTTATGAATTATCCATATTATACAACAGATTCTTGGATTCTTCCTTGCAGAATCCGTCAACGAGGAAGGTGGAGAGATTTTTTTTTTTTTTATATTTAATGTTAAATAAAAAATTAATAAAAAAATCAACTTTTTATTCCAATTGGTGAAGGAGTGAGCCTCGCTCTTGCCACATCATCATTTAATAGCCAAATTGACAGAAAATTTAATGGAGGTCTAACATTGCAACGAATTCATAAGTTGAGGTATGACATTGCAATGTTTAAAACATGAGATATGAGATTGTGGTTCGACCCATAGTTGAGGTAGTTTTGTGTAATTTACCCAAAGTTTAAGTATAAAAGAACAAGTCCTTTAAAGGAAAGGGATCCCCATTTTAAGAAAAAAAAGAGGGTAAAGTACAAAACACTACCTCAACTACTGGTGTCACGACACTTTCATACCTCATCTTTTTAAAATGACAATGTCATACCTCATCGTATGAATTTGTGCCAATGTCAAACCTCCGTCAGTTTTTCTATTAATTTTTCTGTTAAGTGCTGACGTGACTAGATACTGGGGCCACTCATTAATCCAATTGGATTAAAGTATAATTAAATATATTTTTTAATAATTAAAAATTAAAAAATTAACAAAATATTTTTTTATATATATAATTGTGGATCCACCCTCTCTCTCCTCTCTCTCGCTTCTCTCCTCTCTCTCTAGACACCTACCTGCATCCCCAAAACCTTCCCACGCATTCCCCCCAACCGTCATCCCCTTCACCCTTTCTTCCCCCCCCCCCCCGTTCCCATCTTCTCTGCGCAACCTCTCCCTAAAAAAACTCTCCCATCTAGAGCCCCTTGGGCTCTCCGTATCCCACCTCTGCTTCGCCACTCTCCCGCCCCACCGCCCCTCCCTTTCAATCACCTGCCTCGCCGTCAACCACAACCTTTTCTACACCGCATCGGGCCACGAGAAATGCCTCTGGATCTCCGATGCGTCAAGCCTGAAGATTTGGCAAGACTCGGATCTCCGTTTCGTCGAGTCGATCAAGGCGCATAAGGACGCTGTGAATGCGTTGGCAGTGTCAAACGAAGGGACGTTGTACACCGGGTTGACGGATTGTCGGATTTGGGTGTGGTCCAAATCGTTCGGGGAAGACGGAGAAGACGGGAGCGGGGTGGGATCTGGGTTGGGTTGTTCTAGTTTTGAGTTTGGAGCGAGGTGGGATCTGGGTTGGGTGGTTCTGGTTTTGAGTTTAGGGAAGAAAGGGTGAGGGGGATGAAGGTTGGGGGGAGGACGGGTGGGAAGGGTTTGAGGGATGCAGGTAGGTGTCCAGAGAGAGAGAGAGAAAGAGAAGAGAGAGGCGAGAGAGAGAGGGTGGTGGAGGGAGGTTAGGGGGGACGGGTGGGAAGGGGTTTTGGGGATGTTGAGAAGAGAGAGATGGGGGAGAGAGAGGAGAGAGAGATTTAATATATAATTTTTTTTTGTAAATTTTTAAATTTTAATTATTAAAATATATATTTATTTATATTTTAATCCAATTGGATTAGTGAGTGGTTCTCGTATCTAGTCATGTCAGCACTTAACAAAAAAACTGACGGAGGTATGACATTGACACAAATTCGTAAGATTAGGTATGACATTGTCATTTTAAAAAGATAAGGTATGAAAGTGTCGTGACACCAATAGTTGAGGTAGTTTTTTGTACTTTACCCAAAAGAAAAATAGGGAATAGTTATGGGACAAACTCTACAACAAACTTCAACAATCCGAATCGTCTATTTTGTAAGTCTGGATTCATAGATCACACTTTGCAAAAATTCAGTTCAATTCGAAACCATTTGTCTATTTAATTGTCACGGTAAAATTTCAATGTTTTCTTAGAACAAAGTTTTTGTCAATTTCTTTGAATTCAATTAGGTGCCTTAAATATTTTCGATTTGGCTAATATTTTGCAAGGATAATCTATGAGGTGCAACTTAAAAAATAGACGATTGCTCCACAACTAATGCCCATTTTTTTATAAAAATGGGAATCCCTTCCCTTAAAGGCCTCCATAAAAGAAATTGTATCGCAAACCCATCCACCGCTTGAGTTTCAAGTCTTTACTACAAGATTCCTCATAGTGAAAGATGAATAACTTTGACAACCAATGCCTTTTTTTTCGATTGCGCATATTGCTTTTGGAATCTTTTAGTGCTTAAAAGGTTTTCTATCTTTGGAGTTTTCGCTAATTAGATTCTTGAGAAAACATAGATCAAAATTCAATGAACTCTTTATATTAACGTGACTGCTAGTACATAGTTAGTCGATGTTTATTCCTCAAATTATTGCTTCTTTATGTTTTTTGAAAGTATAATATCACCAAAAGGATACTAAAAACTTTTGAATCCTCCATCCCTTCACATTTCATGGAAATTATCCCAGTGTCGACGTGTTCGTTCAATCTTCTCATCCTAGTAACCTGACGGCTTGCGAGGGAGATTTCTAATCCCTTCCATTAGGCGAAGGTTCACGTGAGACCCACAAAAACATTGTTGGAGCATGGTGATGAATTATGATGATGCTGTATGTGTTGTCATGCCACAAAAACATGTCAAATGATCATGTAAATAAATTGTATAATGTTTAGCAAAAACAAAAGGAAATGTTATAAATAGGTAAAAGTTAGAGAAATAACCTTTGCTAAAGACCGGAGGGAAGCGGGTGCAAAATATCATACTATAACTTTAGTAGCCATAACACAAAGGATGACAGATAAAGAGAAGGAGGGAGATATACTAATATTATTTATTTGATTCTTTCTTTCGCAATGTGTGTTTTGGTAACACATGGATCACTCTACTCCCATGAGAATATCCAAAAATGATATGATGGCTACTTTTGACAATATTACATAACAACAAATATATCACTATCATTTTCACCTTTTTCCAAATGCATGTGGGATGTGGGCATACACCATACAGTTTTACAACACTCCCACTTA